ACGGTGCCACATGAAGGCCACAGAATAGCGATTTTTGCTGATATCCCATTCTCTGCTCTAGCAGAGAGAAAAAAGCTGGCACCAGTGGCCAGGTTACTACGTGACTCGTCCATCAGGTACCGATGGGGCACAGAGGGATCAATACTAGCTGAGAAGGGGGGAGAAAGCCTCACGCTAATGTCCCGAGACGACCCCAAACAGTTCCTACAAAAGTTGAGCCTGTCACTCCAGCTGCAGCCGAAGGACACACCAACTTCACCAAGCAAGACGGCATGTGGAGACAACGCCAAGCGCACCTTCAAAAGTATAACAAAACTTACCACCAAGAAGCTGAAGCCGCAGTAGTGGCTTGGATACCAGCCCTTTCTCTCGGTGAACCTACACCATTCCACTGATACTGGACTGTTCCATAATGCCTAGGGCCAGCAAAGGCGTAGCGCCACCGTGATCGCTGGGCACAAGTACTTGTGAGTCGGACATATGCACATGACTACATGCAAATATGCACCCCTCTGTCCTTGAATACTCACATAAATGTTTGACTCCTTTCTTACTCTTAACAAATATATTGGAAAAGTTGTATAATGCTGAAAATAACTCAATAAAATACAAATAATAAAAAAAAAAATAATAAAATTTAACTGTCTATATCTATAAGGTCCCATTGTAAGTTACGGGTCAAAACTCAGATTTGCAGACACATAGTCTGGACAAAACTTAAAGAAACCCTTTGAAATTTTAAATTATGGCACTATAAAGATAACGCAAAATGGCGTCATAATAGCCACCAGGAAAAGTTAAATCTTTCCTGGATAGGTATGTTTAGTGGGACAAGACTGCCCTCTATAGACCAAATAACTAATTTGCGATCTGGAAGATAACCACACCTCTAGTGCTTCTATTGGGTTATCAACTGATGACGTACAGAGAGTCTGGCCCTTTAAAAGTTAGGACAAAGGGAAGATAGGCGAATGCAAAGGAGAAAGAAAAAGAGGAGAGAGGAATTGGAAGTTTGGGACTCCAACCTCCATGCCGACAGACATCCAAATAAGTTCCTGAGACTATCTACCAATCGGATGAAATATCTACTCAACTGGTAATTATACTGGTTTCATTTGATTAATTAAATTAATTAAAATGTATTAATAGCATTATATATGACTGGATAAAGCACGGTCAGATTTCCATATTAAGAAATCTTAGTTAACTAAAGAATATATAGTTATAAACATTCCATTCTGCAGGTGGAATTAAGAATAATTATATATTGATGTGATATTATCACGTGTTAGCATACCGCTGTTTTTATCCAGGTGTATTGATTTGCTCTAAATTAAGATAAGATATCTTTTAGACAAATTAAAATCTGCTTATATAATATGGTAGATTCTCTTATTGGATGGTTTCAGGAAATGACTAATGAACTGGTTTAAATGTTATTTTATTTAAAATGACATAAGAATAGATCTTAACTACCTAGGAGATTTAGCCAGCATTGAAAGGGTTATTCTAACTGTCAGCTAAACTTTACGACCTTACGCTGCACTCTGAGGAATTCTGTTCTCTGCGTAAAACTTTCTCTATGTCTGTGAAAGATAGTCATAAATAAAGTCTTGACAGAAAATGCTGTTTTAGCCGTTGAAACGTGTTTAGCCATTCCTTTGTATTGCATACCATTTTATACTGGATATTCATTGTTTATTGTCACGCATGTTACTTATTATTATTATTATTATTAATTAATTTGTTATTATAAATAAAATCTATTTTTATAACAAATGGTGAATATTATTTATATGAAATACTTCTCACTTACGATAAACGTTCTTTGGGATCTGAGAATTATATTAGTGGGCAATTCTCAACTGTTTACTATTATTATCCCATAAATATCCCCACAATAAGGAATGTACTCTATGTATTCAGTGCTCAGATCTTTGCTGTTTTTGGTGACATAAGTCCCTCTGAGTCCCGGTCGGTGAATCGAATAAAGATCTCTTCCTTCCTAAGAAACCTGTGTCCATCTCTCTGTGCTTGGCCTCCGTCAGTTTCCCGGTAACAATAAGACTTGCTTTTCGCACTTTAACAGTGCTCTCACTACTGCAAGGGATTCTGGAAGGGGTCTGGTAGTGGTAGTGGGTTTGTCTAAGCGTTATATGCCTTTCAGTATATTCTTAACGGGATAGGTAGACATGAAAGGGTTTGTGCCCTTAGGATGTGATGCTGTATTCCTGTGAGGTAGAGTTTTATGGTGTTTAGTGATAATTTTAAGTTAAGGTGGCAAAAGGAGACAAAAGCCACAATGGAGTCTAGAGAGTGTGTGTTGCTTATCTGGTAATCTAACGCGTGTGTGTGTGTGTTTACATTTTTTTGTTTTTATGTTTAATTTAATCCTAGTTCAACCTTTAAAGTCCCATAAAACAAGTATTTCTATATAATAAAATTACTGTTATTAAATTATTTGTATGTTTGTATTTTATTTTATTTTATTTATTGTAATGAATTTATCCTTTTTATTCTGTGGTTTACTATGGACCCAACATTTCTGATGTTACACACAGTAAGGTAATTTCTTGGTGCTATCTTGTGGCCATTTAGGGTAATTGCATGTCTCCATTTGAAAAGCATCATCTCGTGTAATAAATCTTCTAAAAATCGAATTCTACAAATTTAATAAACTAATAAAATCAATAATTGAATTGTTAGATGTTTTGTGAAGTAAACCTGTTTATTGTTGTTTTTTTTTTTCTTACCAGAGAGCAAGTAACATTGTTTACTCACAGTGTGAATTAGCATTACCTGTATCTGAGGGCCATCTTGTGGCCATTTTGAGGAATTGCGCCATTTAATAATTTCCAGCTAGTCCACAAATCTTGCTATTTATTCATCTAAGTGAGTTGTACAGCATGAGGACACACTGCCTGCAAGGGCTCTGTTGTGAATGTTTACCTGTGCATAGAGCTGCCAGCTTATATGGAATAGTGCCATGTGGGTACCAGTCACAGCATAGCTGTACATCCCCATATCATGTCAAAGATTAGACGGGTGGAATTGGGTGCCAACATTTATCTGATTATCAGGGAATTTCCATGGTGTAAGGCACTTATTTTATTAGTAATTTATTATATAGCACCATCAGATTCCGTAGCGCTGTACAGTGGGTGGACTAACAGACATGTAATTGTAACCAGACAACTGGACGTACAGGAACAGAGAGGTGGCGGGCCCTGCTCAATGAGCTTACATTCTAGAGGATACATTGTGTGGCCCTTCACTGATTGCTCAGGCTCAGCCTTTACCTACTTGCTGCATGTGGCTGTCACTAGTGGTAATTGTGGGCATCCTGTGATGTGTATATACACACATAGCAATGTAGCTTAATGTTGCAGTCATAGCACAGCTGAGAGCAGCCCCCTTCCAGCTAGATCCCTGCTGTGCTGTTCCAAAGCTTTACTAAGAATGATGTAGAGCCACTGATAGGACATGGAGGGATGGGCATTATAGGCCCCCGGAGCAAAGCAGTGCACTGGGACCCTGCCTACACAACCACTCACAGGAATAAAAATGTAAATTAGCTATCTTAACCATCATTTTATATAGTTAGTGTAAGAAATCCTCTATTTAATATATATAAATAATTGAGAATACAATATAAAATAAGGATTGTCTTGGAAGCAATAGTTTTGTCTTTTAGATATTTATTATATAAAAATATAAACATAGACATATAAAATCCATTATAGCAGAGTTTCTAAGATTAAACTAAATTCTTGCTAATGTAATTAATAGGTTAACATACCCTTCTGAACATGTCATCATGTCGGCCTCTTTGTCATTTTAAGATGGAGCAGCGTCTGTCTCCAAGTCTCTCCTCTGTTTCTTAACATTTAAAAGTACACCTATTTATACCTTAGGTGTCTCAATTTTAGGGTTACCGTAGTTCATTTACTTTATTCATTTTAGGACCTCCCTTAATTTGGCAAACATACAAGGCCATAACGAAAGGGTGCATACATCATGGAAATTTTCCTGGCTTAGTTCAAGATGGCATCTTAAAGTCTGAATAGCTTATCTGTTGTTTATACTAAGATGTAAGTGCACAGTCGTGGGAGATTCCCGGATTTGGGGAAGTTCCATTAACTTGGGGTTACCACAGTATATTGTGTACTGCAAGAGTCGTAGTCAGGGCTCGAGTCCTGCAGGAACGCATGGGAACGGCGTTCCTGCACTTTTTCCAAAGCAGGAACGCCGTTCCCGTTACCTGTCCTGCAGGACCGGCCCTGCTACCTGCACAGAGGGGCCATCACACGCTGTGTTCCCTCTCCAGCTCTAACTCTCGCGAGACCCGCGGCTGTTACCATGGCAACGCTCCGCACAGGCGAGTCTCGCGAGAGTTAGAGCTGGAGAGGGAACACAGTGTGCGATGGCTCCACGGCCGTCTTTAAAGCGGGGCAAACGGGGCAGCTGCCCCGGGCCCACTTGCTCTTGGGGGGCCCAAAGCAGCTACCGCGTGGGCCCCGCTGTCCGCTACCCCCTGGGCCAGCCGGTGCTGCAGCTGCACCGGGAGCCCCCACACTAAGAGGCCCCGGTCAGCACTTTGGCCCCCTTGTTTTACGGCAGCAGGCTGGGAGGAAGTGACTGCCGTAAGTCACTTCCTCACAGATATAATGAAGCCGCGCGGGAGGAAGGAGGCCGTCAGGAGGGATCTGGAGTGCAGGAGCCTCACACTCCCAACAACCTCAGCCTGCCGCTGGACCCCACGCAACATACCTGTGGTGTACATACCGGTCGGGGTTTGGTAGGACTGCTGACGAGCAGCTCCTGCACACCTCCATCCGACCAAGGTTCTTGGTTGCTTTTTTTTTTTTTTATTCTCTTCACACCTCTTTCTCTCTCTTCTTTTTCTTCTTCTTCCTCTTTTACTCCCCCCCCTCTCTCCCTCTCTTAATCTCCGCCCTATCCACACTCCCCTCCCCCACCCACGTATAGAACGCCACGCAATGCCTTCTCAGGCAGGGCTTGGGGGGGGCAGTCCAATCCGGGGAGACGGAGAGAAGCTCGTTCCCGCACAGCTCAAAGTGTGGTCTAATAATGTGAGAGGCCTCAACACCCCGGAGAAGCGGACTCAACTATTGCGCCAGCTGTGGGCGGAAAAGGTGTCCGTGGCGCTCCTGCAGGAGACGCACTTTCGAGGTCAGGCCTCTCCAAAGCTTGAGAATAGACGTTTCCCACTGGGGTACTACGCCAACCACCCAGACGCTAAGAAAACGGGAGTGGCGATTCTGTTCTCCCGCACAGTCCCGTTCCAACTTCTCGATACTTTGACGGACTCGGAAGGGAGGTTCATCTTTTTGAAAGGTACTATTGCACACCACACCTACACCTTTGCATGCATATATAGCCCTAACCGCAGACAGCACACCTTCCTGTCCAAAACACTTCGCAAACTAGAAAAATTCAGGGACGGCATGCTGATATTAGCAGGGGACCTTAACGTCCCGCTGGATCCCCGGATGGACACATCCAGGGGGGCCAGCACGGTCCCGGATCACAGTATACGCACAATGCGGCGTGACCTGACGGGTATGGGGTTGGTTGACTGCTGGCGGGTAGCCCACCCTGATGACAAAGACTTTACCTACTATTCGTCAGTCCACAGGCAATATAGTAGGATAGACTATGTATTCATGCCTCAGGAGAGCCTAGCGCTTCTCAGGGATGCATCCATAGGGATTATCAACCAGTCTGACCATGCCCCAAACACAGTGGTCATGAGCTCACCATTATTTAAACCGGTTGAGCGCCAATGGAAACTTAATGAAACCTTGTTAACAGAGCTAGAGATACGCACCAGGACACTGCAGACGCTTACGCAATACTTTGCTACCAATGATACCCCCGACATGCCCCCACTGATGCTATGGGAAGCCCATAAATGCGTTATTAGGGGACACTTTATATCTATCAGCACACAACGTAAGAAAGATAGGGCCCGGCAGATACTTGACCTCACGGCTCGGATTGCAGACCTAGAGAACACACATAAACATAACTAGACGACGACACGTATCTACGACTTACAGAGACGCGCAGGGCACTCAAAGCACATCTCTCTCAGGGATTACTACACACGATGCGGAAATCAGCCCGGCATTTTTACGAGCACTCAAATAAATGCGGCAGACTTCTGGCGCAAGTACTCCGAGAGAAGCGTAGGTCCCAACACATCCACCAGATACGTACGAACCAGGGACAGACCACCAGACTACCTGAGGGAATTATGACAGCATTTAGGGCTTACTACAGGGATCTTTATAACCAAGCTAGGCCCACACAGGGAATGGAAGCCCTAAACCACCGCAGGAGAGTCACAGACTATCTAACGCAACATGTAACTCGCAAACTCACCCCAGAGCTCGCTGAGGAACTTGATGCACCCCTGACCTTGGAGGAATTGGCCGCGGCCATGAAATGTTCCAAACCACACAGGGCCCCAGGCCCGGATGGCCTCCCCCTCACATACTTACGAACATTCCGTGACGGGGGGCGGTTCCCTACGGACTCCATGGCTGCAATAGTAACGGTCATCCCTAAAGACAGAAAAGATCCGTCAAACTGCTCGAGCTACAGACCAATCTCATTACTAAACGCTGACTTGAAGCTATTTACCAAAGCCCTATCCCTGAGGGTGTCGAGGATCCTGCCGGACCTCATTCACCCAGACCAGGTGGGCTTTATCCCGGGCAGAGAGGCTAGGGATGACACGATACGAGCCCTGAACATCATACACTGTGCACGGACCTCTGGGAGGGACACAGTCCTCCTGTCTACGGACGCTGAAAAGGCGTTTGACAGGGTGGACTGGGTCTATCTGGATGAGACCCTACGACAGATGGGGTTTGGCCCAAATATGCGAACGTGGGTGTTGGCGCTATACTCCTCCCCAACGGCCAGGATCCGCATTAACGGAGCCCTAACGCAGTCCTTCCCAATTTGCAATGGGACCCGGCAGGGTTGCCCCCTGTCCCCTCTCCTGTTTGCCCTCTCTCTCTCGAGCCATTTATGGAGGTGGTCAGACAGGACAGGGGTATAACGGGGGTGAGAGTGGGCTCCGAAGAGCACAGAGTGGCGGCCTATGCGGACGACATGCTCTTCTTCCTGGAACAACCTAGGATTTCCATGCCCAACCTTCTACAGGCGTTTCGCACATACCACCGGGTATCCAACTTGAAACTCAACGTGGAAAAGTCCGAAGCCATGCCGATAATGCAGGAGGAGGAGCAGGCCCGTCAGCTCAGCTCTCAGTTCGCCTTCTCTTGGTGCACAACCAAGCTACGGTACCTGGGAACTTGGCTACCAGCGGACCTGACGCAGGTATACAGGCTGAACTTTCTCCCTATCCTTTCTGCAATACAACAAGACCTCCAGCGTTGGACACAGCGGTACGTATCCTGGTTTGGCCGCATTAGTGCGGTCAAAATGAACATCCTCCCTAGATTGCTGTACCTCTTCGCGACACTACCCACCATGATCCCCCAGACGTTCTTCAACGCGGTAACAACAGCGATTCGTAGGTTCGTGTGGAACAATAGGCAGACGCGCATTCGCAGGTCAATTCTGGAGAGACCGAAAACAGCTGGAGGGATGGGGCTGCCGTCAGTGATCTCGTACTATAGGGCCACACACCTCCACAGAATAGTAGACTGGCATGCGAAGCCCAGCACCAAACGATGGGTCGCCATGGAACTGCAACAGACACAGGGCACCGTCCCGTCGCAGCTCTGGCTGGGGGGGGCCACTTATACCGACCTACAAACCAAAAACCCAATAATAGATGCCACTCTCCGGGTTTGGTGCAGACTCAGGTATGTCCACCAATTCACCACATCCCCAAGCCCGCTTACGCCCATTACTCACAACCCGGAGGTAGCCGGAGGCAGCCGGAGGCCTACATCCGGCGGCCCTGCACAACTTTCAAAGCACAGATTGGAACTATGTACGCCAGTGGAGTCCGGGGGGGACGCTTCAGCCGTTGGACGACCTAATAACGGGCAGACAACCAACTGCTCTTGACAAGTTCCATTACCACCAAGTTAGGTCCTATTATGCCACACTCACGGGGAGAACTCACCTTCACCGTACACTGACGGAATTCGAACGACTGTGCACAGACAGACGACACCTAATCCATGGGGTATCCTATTTATACGCGCTGCTCCAACAGACAGGGGACAGTGGCCTACTAGGATACACAAGCAGATGGGAGAGGGAGACGGGCACACAGTTGACGGACCAGGAATGGGACAAAATATTCCTCCTCACCCATAAATGCTCAATCAGCTCGAAACTGCAGGAAAGCAGTTACAAACTGCTAACACGGTGGTACATAACACCAGACTCATTGAGACATATACACGGGACGGACACGGGCGACTGTTGGCGATGTGGCTTAGAGAGAGGCACTTACCTACATATTTGGTGGGCATGCCCTTGCATACAGCCATACTGGCAGATGATCAAGACAAAGATCAAGGAAATTTCAGGGGACGACATTCCCTTCCAACCACTACCGATGCTTCTCCACCATACACCCACCCCCACGCAGGCTTATAAAAAATCATTGACAATACACCTATTAAACGCAGCAAAAGCTCTCATCCCCCTGCACTGGAAAGGTCCAACAGTTCCCACTCTGAGACAATGGATAGACAAGGTGGAGGCCGTCTATGACATGGAGATTCTGACGGCCTCCCTGCAGGAGCGCGCGGACAAGTGTGCTCTGACCTGGTATCCATGGAGACAGTACATCTCAGGCGGGGTGGCATAAACCATGGTAACACTGTCCTTATCAAGGTCACAGGGACCACGGGGAGCGAGACCAGACAAGTGGAGCCCAAGTTACTACCAAGACACCGCGGCTCCCCCGGGGAACTGCCCCAGCAGCCCCTATACCCGACATCCCCATCTCCCTCCTCCCTCTACGCAAACTATTGTAGCTACTTTCTCAACCCCCCTTTTTTTTTTCTCTCTCTCTCTTTCTCTCACTGGACTGTTACTCTCTCTTTTCTTGCACTTAGTCCGGAAATCTTGCACCGGAGAGGCTTCGACCGACACACCCTCAGGCGGTCAATTTCCTCAGAAGCCCCAGCAGCCCCTATACCCGACATCCCCATCTCCCTCCTCCCTCTACGCAAACTATTGTAGCTACTTTCTCAACCCCCCTTCTTTTTTTTTTTTTTTCTCTCTCTCTCTTTCTCTCACTGGACTGTTACTCTCTCTTTTCTTGCACTTAGTCCGGAAATCTTGCACCGGAGAGGCTTCGACCGACACACCCTCAGGCGGTCAATTTCCTCAGAAGCCTAGGTCGGACACACTTTACACGGACAGATCACTCTGACACAGCCGAGGAGGCTGTCACCCCCCCTAGACATACAAGTTGAGGAGGGATCTACGGATACCAGACTGACCTCCATTTACCAGAGGTTAGTCGGCCCCTCTCTCACATACGGAGCTAGGTGATCCGGAGCGCACCTATGCAACAAGGCCCGGATGCGTACTATAACCCCAGGACAGTCCGAACATAAGGGTCTACAGTCCCGCACGGGATGCACAACGCAAGGGGCTCACGCAGACGCGGGGGTGGATGACAAACACTGTATTGACGGTAGAATGTCCGACTTCCCACATGACCATTACAAAGGGCTTAAGACCGCATGGAGGCACAGTCCGGATTATCAAGGGCGAGACATATTTGCAATTGTTTTTGAGGCTCATACATGTCTTGTACTTTTAACTGTTATACTTGCCGTATGCTTACGGAATTCACTGAAAATATTTTCAATAAAAATGATTGACACAAAAAAACTCACCTTTATTCCAGCACTGCGTGGGTCTGCCAGCACTGGCCCCGTCCCCAATACGCCATCTTGGCTGACATCATCACAATTAACGATCTTAGCCAAAGTGGGGCATGGCACCAAACGGCGTACTGGCTAATAAGTATCTCCTCATGAATTGAATAAATGCATCTCTATGGGGAAAGCTTAGCATCTCCATGCCGAGGATGGAGACACTGAATGTCAGTGCTGCACAGTGTGCAGCACTGACCCAGAAAGCACCTCTAGTAGCCATCTAAGTGACTATTCCCTGTTCATACATGACACAATCAAGAACAGCTCTAAAGGGTCTGCCTCCCTAGAAATCTTTTCATTATGGTGTCAACTTACTGCCTCCTCCACCTTCATGTTTTCATGAACATTCACAAAAAGATAACATTGTGTGACTGAGTGACAGACAGACATTCTTAGCCTGATAGTCAGTGCAGGTAACAGCAGCTAGCTCATCTTCTTCATCACCAGATAAACTGAGGTACGGAAAGATCACCTCAATAAGTCCTAATGAGCAGGACATGGTTTTATCTTTTAATTCCCATAAAACAAGTATTTCTATATGTACCTGTATTATTTATATATTTGTTTTCTCTTGTAATAAATGTATCTTTTTTACAGTCTATGTTTACCATGGACCAACTATTTCTGATCTGTTACACACATTAAAAGGGACAATATAGGCACCCAGACCAC